TATATTATATATATATAATTTCAATAATTTGTTTTTAATTGAAAAGTAATACATGTACTTGGGGAAAAAAAGATCTCTCCCACCCTAGATTCCCCACTGTTAACATTACTTATGTATCCTTCCAGAAACTGTCATTGTACATAAAAGCACATCCTTTTTTATTATGGTAAGTACATATGTGTGTATGTGTGTGTGTGTGTGAGAGAGAGCATGTATGTATATATGTGTATATATATAACATACACATATACAGATACAACAGAGTGTTTACCATTTCAACATGTTTTCCATGTACAATTCAGTGGGATTAATTTTATTCACCATGTTGTGCAACCATCACCACTATCAGTTTCCAAATATTTCCATTACTCTTAACATAAGCTCAGGGCCTCTTCCTTTTTTGATCACCTGTGTTTGTATAAAGGAACTCTGGTGGCCAAGTGGCTAAAGCATTCGGCTGCTAACCAAAAGTTTGGTGGTTTGAACCTATCAGCTGCTCCGCAGGACAAACATGAACCAATCTGCTTCTGTAAAAATTTACAGCCTTGGAAACCCTATGGGGCAGTTCTCTTCTGTCCTATAGAGTCACTGTGAATCAGAATCAACTCAATGGCATTGGGTTTATCAATGCGTATATTTGTACATCTTTTCTTATCAACACATATATATTTACAAAAAAAAAAAAAACCTCACTGCCATCTAGTTGATTCCAACTCATAGTGACCCCCATTGGGTTTCCAAGGCTGTAAATCGTTACAGAAGCAGGCTGTCCCTTCTTTCTTCTGCAGAGCAGCTGGTGGGTTCAAACCACTAACCAAATGCCTTAACCACTATGCCATCAGAACTCCTTATCAACACAGACAGATCTTTATAAATTCATTGTAAATACAAGTTGTTTATCCAGTCCTCTAGTGATGGATCTTTAGTTTTGCTTGATCCATTTTTTGCAACATCTGGTGGGAATTTTTGGAGCTCTGATGGCATAGTGGGTAAGGCATGTGGCTGCTCACCAGAAGGTCACTGGGTCAAACCTACCAGCTGCTCTGCAGGAGGAAGATGAGGCAATCTACTTTTATAAAGATTTATAGTCTTGAAAACCCAATAGGGGTCATTATGAGTTGGAATCAACTTGATGGCAGGGAGTTTGGTTTTTTTAGTTTGATAGCAATTTAAAGGGAGAAGTGGCATCAGCCAAACTAGGTGTTTAAAAGTTGTTGTTGTTGTTGTTTGCCGTCGAGTCGGCCCCGACTCATAGCGACCCCTCCTTGGGTTTCCGAGGCAGTATCACTACGGAAGTAGGATTGCCCAACCTTCCTTCCGAGGAGTGGCTGGTGGGTTTGAACCGCCAGCCTTCTGGTTAGCAGTCAAGTGCTTTTAGCCACTATGCTAAAGTAGGCAGCTGCAAATTCTAATCCTAAATGCTTGAGAACTCCCAGTCTTCAGAAAGTTCTCTCTTGGTGCCTACAAGATGGAGAGATTAGAATAAACAACAAATAAAAAAGAAAGAATTTTAAAAAATTAATTTAAAATATTTTTAAAAGGAAGGAAGAAATGAAATGTATATATGGAGAACATTAAATTGGCAAATGGAGTGTTTTATTTTTTTTCACAACATTAAAAAAGAAGAAGAAGAAAGGGAGAAGTTGCTTCATTGAGAAGGAAGGGAAGAGAACACACTGAGAATCTCTCTCCTCAAAAAGACCTTTAGTAGTCTCCACTTCCCCATCACCCATCAATGCCCTGAAATCTGACGACATGCAGCTCAGTGAAACTCCTCTTGCCTAAGTTACCAGTAATCACAGAATTGGCAAAAACTGAAGAGCATTTTTATATTCCAATCTTACTTAATGCTCTTACCAAAAAAACTAAACTCACTGCCATCAAATCAATTCTGACTCATAGCAATCCCTTTTGGGTTTTGGGAGCGGTAAATCTTCAGGGAAGCAGATTGATTGCCCAGTCTTCCTTCCACAGAGTGGCTGGTGGGTTTGAACCGCAACCTTCTGGTGAGCAGTCAGATGCCTTAGGCACTACGCCACCAGACATGTGATAATGTCACCTATCCCCTCCTGAAAACTCTCACCTCCCTTGGCTTCTAAATCCTTTCTCCCTCTGGATTTTCTCCTCCTCTCTCTAAATACTCCTTCTCAGCCTCCTCCATGGGTTCCTTGCCTATACTCACCCCTAAGCATCAGGGAATCCCTGGGCCCTCTGTTGTGATCCCATTTTATAGAGTAATAAAGTGGCCAAGCATTCCTCTCTCTTGGTAAAACCATCCAAACCCATGGCTTCAACTACTAACTACAAAATATGCTGACACTTCCAAATTATTGCCCGATCTGTATATTCAATTACCCATGTCACACTGTTCACATGCTATAAGTTCATTAGACTCACATGTAATAGGCCTACTAGCTTTACTGAAGTTATTAATTTGGGTTGGAAAACAGAGTGGTTAGCAAAAGCTAGAGTTTAAGGAGAAATGGTTCAATCCAGAATGGTGCTAAGGGGTTTATAGGGAGATGGAATGTTCATTTTACTACATGTTATTCATTAGCATGATTCAAAATGCCTCCCTCACTTGCCCCCCCCCCAAAAAAAAGCACAAAAATGCCTTGATTAATATGCTATATGCATCTTTCAAAAGAAGCTCTGGTAGCACAATACCTAGGGCTTACTACGAACCAGAAGGTTGATGGTTCAAACCCACCAGCCACTCCATGGAAGGAAAACTGAGTAATGGATCTTTCAGGGGCAAGAGAAAGTCCTCAGCTTTGCAGGGAGACTGCATCTCAGCATTATGCCAGAAGAATGTGCCCACAATCTTCTCTCCATTGCTAAATTTCTGTTAGAATTCAGATCACAGATACAAACTAGGTTGGCAGCCCAAGAAGGAGATGTTTAAAAGAGGTATACCTCTGTGAAGAGGCAGGGTTCCCCCTATCCCTACATTTGGGGTTCTATTTTCTCTCTTCCTTATCATATCTCTTAACTTTGATTAGCTATTTCATGGGTCTTTATTATATAGCTGATTTTGCTTCACCCTTGTCTCTCTATATTTCTCCTTAAGATCAATAAACTACCTGATTGCCAAAAAGTGGACACTTCAGAAAAGAATATCATTGACTGGACTGCAGTGGAACCCATTCATATGGCATTCCTCAAACCATAAAGACCTGGGCTGGGCATTGACCATAGTGGGGAAGTCAGAAAATGAGTATGCAGAGAAGCAGCTCCTTAGAAACTCCTCTATATCATACAGGCCATCATTTTGTTTGTGGTAGGATTATTGTTCTTACCCAACACAAGTGGAAAAACTTGCCTTAGGATAGTGAATGGCCAATAGCTTATTCTGAGAATCCAAGCTTGAACTTGAGATTTTCATCTGGACAAACTTGTCTTCCAACACTTGGGACAAGAGCACAAGCCAACCTTTCACTCAGTAGCTTAAAGACAGGCAGAAATACCCATCGGGGACAAAATGTCAAATTTTATGATTTCAGAAAACATGTAAGTAATCAGCTTGTTATTGGAAGGGCAAAAAAAAACATATTCACATATATTCAGCCCATCTCATTTCCTTTTCCCCAAAAGCAGGTGAAAATTAACACCTCTGTGGGAACCAGGCTCATAAGAGGCACATATAAGTGGGCCTGAAGCTCTGGGAACTAAGGAAGGAAAAAATCACCTTCAAAAGTCACAAGTGACCTTGCATTGATTTCTGAACACCCTGACCTGCTTGCAGGCCCCTGAGAGAGCTCTTAAGGGGAAGAAATGAGACATTTATGAACAGGCTGATTTTCCCAGGTTCTGAGCCACATCCCCAGTAGAGATAGAATCAGGCTCTTTGGGGACACAGGTGTCTACTTAATGATCTTTGAGATCTTGAATGATAAGGCTGTGTCCTCCCACGTAGTCTTGTATGTGTGAGCATGAGCTTGGGTTACATGAGCAGCCATGTGATAATCCTTCACTGATGACTGAGGATGGAGAGGTTAAATTTTGGCATGCATTTATTTATTCAATAAGCATCTGAAAACTCCAGATAATAGGAGTCCTTTAATTCCAAGTTCATCAGTTTCCTCTGCCTTGTCCTCTGGATATTGTAGCCTCTGTTGACAGGCACGATCAGCATATCCAGTCATCACTATATTTGCATGGAAAGTGAGATCAGGTGAAGACATGGTTTGGGGAAAAAGGGGCAATAGTATTGAGAAGGTAGGAGCTTTAAGAACTTCAAAGGAAAGGGGAAAACTGGGCAAAGGTTACTTGATACCTGGCTCTTTGGTCATTAAGTGAAATCCCGCATGTCCCCAACCCCAAAACCTGGGGATGCTTCAATTCCAATAGAATCCTCCTCCTCCATGAAATCTGTCTAAAGGTGACAGTAACACTAGTGATATCACTAGGGAGGTGTCAGGGGTACAAACCACACCTTCTGACACTATCAGAAGAGGTGACAACAAAATGACCCCAGGTCCACTGCATTGGCAGCAAGTGGGCCAACGTTTCTGAAAACTAGCCAGTAAATATCCTGTGGATCACAACAGAATATTGTCCATCATAGTGCTTGAACATGAGCCCCCTGGGTTGGAAGATACTCACAACATAAGTGGCTACAACAACGGACTTTAGCATACCAATGATTCTCAAGATGGCACAGGACTGGGCAACATTCCGTTCAGTTGTGCATGAGGTCTCCATGTTATTTGACTCAATAATAAACAGCAATAGCACCGTTTTAATGATGAGTAAACTGAGGCTCACAGACATTAAGATGACCTGTCCAAGGCTATACAGCCACAAAGTGGCAGAACCAGGATTCAAATCCAATTTGTTCGGTTCCAAACAAATGGTGAGTGTCTACACATGTTCTTCCCTCTATATGTCACTAAAAGGAGCTTAAAATTGGGGGAGGGGTAGAAAACTTCTGAATATGAGATCTAGGAACTTCAGATCCAGAGCCATGACTTCTCAATACATTCCTTCTGACCCATGCAAGGACCCTCCACCCACTGTAACACTCAATAACAAGTCTACCTCCTTACCGTGGGTCGTTTCCAGACAATGCCTTGAGTTTGCAGAGAGAGTGGTCCAAGGTCCCTGTACCCCAAGGCTGATGGGCATGCTGGGAACTCTGGGTCCTTAAACAGGACCCCTGAGTCCAAGCACTGTTGCCTCAGGGTCTGGAAGTCCTGGCCCAAGTACTTCACAGCTTTTTGGTTGGAGCCGAGACCTTCAGCTGCTGCCCGCTTCTTGGATACTTTGGCCGCCAGGGCTGCCATGGCTGTGGGCTCTGTGCAGGGCAGGGCTGCTCTGCACATGCAGAGGTGCCCAACTGGGAAGGGAACTATAAGGCAGCTGAAATGAGGTGGAGCAAGTTAACATCTCACCTGAGGTCCTGCTCCAGGGGAGTGAGTCACAGTCTAGAACAAATATGTACCCAAGGTGTAGATTGATGGGGCCCCACCTCACTCTACTTTTCAGGAGACCATTAAAGAAGCTGAAAGCCTTCTAGGGCCCATCCCAAGCCATTAGCCTAAGAAACTCATTAGGATCACACCCATACCTACTCTGCAGGGCCTATTTGGCTCCCACGGTGTCCATCAACTGAGATGAGATGTATCATCAGGCAGCATGAGGAAAGGTGTCACCAAATATTTGGAGAATTCTGACAGGGAAGAGGTAACCACAGGGAGGATGTAGGAAGAGAGCTGTTACGTTGTGGGGAATTGCAGTCACTGTCATGAAACAAAATGTGCACAAACTGCTGTATGGAAAATGAATTTGCTCTGTGAACTTTCACTGAAATTGCGATAAAAATTTTTTAAAAAAAGAGAAAAAAAGGTTGGGAGAATTCTGAGCATGAGCATAGCTAGTGGTTAGAGGAATGGTCTTTCCTTCCAAAGAAGCTTGGTTCCATATTTGTTAACCAATAACCAGTTGCTGTCATATCAGTTCCAACTTATGGCAACCTCATGTGTGTCAGAGTAGAACTGTGTTACATACGGTTTGGTTTTTTTAGTTTTTCTTTTTGTTTTTTGTGATTTGGCTGAAGTTTTACAGAGCAAATGGGTTTTCCCTTCAACGTTTCATATGCATTTTGTTTTGTGACATTGACTGCAATCCCCACAATGTAGCAGCACTCTTCCCACTTCCTCCCTGTGTTTACAATTTCCATTCATCCTTCTTTCCTATCCCTTCCTGCCTTCTGAGCCTTATTCCGGGACAAATGCTGCCCTTTTGATCTTGTATGATTGGTTGTTCTAAGAAGTGTGTACCTCCCTGTCGCTTTTGTTTGGCTAAATTTGAGCCATGAGGTAAGTCCAGTTCCAGGCTTGCAGAGTGTTGAAGGGGCCATAGTTTCAGGGGTTTCACCAGTCTGTATCATACCAGTAAGCTTGGTCTTTTTGATGATTTTGAGTTTTGTATCACTTTTTCTCTCCTACTCTACCTAGGACCTCCTACTGTGATCCCTTTCAGAGCAGTCAGGAGTGGTAGCCAGGTACCATCTAATTCTTCTGGTCTCAGGATACTGGAGGCTGAGGACTGTGTGGTCCATTAGTTCTTTGGACTAAGTTTTTCCTTACATCTCTGATTTTTTTCAGTCGTCTTTGCTCCAGACAGGGAGAGATCAACAGTTGCATCTTAGATGGCCATTCACAAGCTTTTAAGATCCAAGTCACTACTCACCAAAGTAAGATGTAGAACATTGTCTTTGTGGGCTCTGTTATGCCAATTGACCTTGGTGTCCCCCAATACTATGGTCCTGAGCTCCAGGCCCAGCAACTCATTCTCTCAGGGTGTTTGGTTATGACTAAGCAGTTTTTGTAACTTTGCTCCCCCATAAAGTTTTCAGTGGCTGGTTTTTCTGAAGTGGATTCAGTAAGCCTTTCTTCCAAGAAGTATCTGGGTGGACTTAAACCTCCAACCATTTTTTTTTTTTCCCCACAGCTGAGCATGCTAACTGTTTACACCACCCAGGAATCAGGACAAAGCTATTTGAGAAGGATGAGTCACAGGTGGATTCAGCATAAAGTCTAACTGGAAGTTGTTTAACCTATGAATGAAGGTTTTGACATCTGACCACCTGGGTTTCTATCCCTGTTCCACCTTTAATTAGCTCTGTAACCTTGGGCAAGTTATTTAACCTCTCTGCCCTTCAATTTTTCTCATCTGCAAGGTGGAAGATAATATAAGGCCTATTTCATAGGATTGTTTGGAAGGGTGATGAGGTAGTACATGTAATAGGTTTAAATAGTAAATAAGAAACATTCAGTAAATATCAGGTATCATTATTCCTACAAAACAGGATGAAAAAGAGAAGGCTTAGGAATCAGGAATCTTGGGTTCAGATCTAAGAAATAAATTACAGACCATGTGGCCTTGGGTTGGTTACTTCTCTCGAGGCTCCAATTTCCTCTCCTAGTCTACCCAGAGTCCTTTGGTGGCACAAATGGTTAAGAGCTCTACTACTAACCAGAAGGTTGGTGGTTCTAACCCAAACCCTTGGAAGAAAGGACTGGTGATATGCTTCCAGAAAGTTCACAGCCTTGAAAACCCTGTGGAGCACAGTTCTACTCTGCACACCTGTATCACCATAAGTCAGAGTTGATTCAATGAAAATAGAAAAATAAAATAAAATACACCCTTAGAATGTGGGCCAGATCAGTGATTTTCCAACTAGTATTGTGGTATGCTGAAAAATGACCTCCCAAAGATACCAGATCCTAAGCCTGGGAATTTGTAAATGTTATCATTTTTGGAAAAAGAATCTTTGTAGATGTGATTAAGAATCTTGAGATGGGGAGATTATTCTAGATTATCTGAGTGGGCCTTAAATGCAATCACAAGTGTCCTTATAAGAGGGAGGCAGACACACATAGAGAAGAGGGGAAAGCAAAGCGATAGAAATTGAAGGATGTGGCATAAACCAAAGAATGCTAGCAGTCACTTAAAGCTGGAAGAGGCAAAGAATTGATTCTCCCCTAAAGGCTCATCCAAAAAGAACATGGGGATGGCATCCTCTGACCTCCTCTAACTTCACTAGGGAAAGAAAAATTCAGTCCAAGCCTGATTCCTATGAGGCAAAAGTCAGACATGCCACCAACTTCCAATCTTTCTCACCAATTCTGACACCAATCATCCCTCCCACAGCACTCACTACTTCTCTGCTGGGTTCAATAATTTGTTGTAATGGCCACATAAAATTTACAGACAATACTCACAATTATGGGGTTTATTAGGTAAGCAATAGGTTACAATTCAGGTTCAGGAATACTCAAGATACAGTTCTTCATTTAGGACAACCTGCACTCTGCCATACCCGCATGCTTCTCTTTGGCTCTTCACCTCTCTGCCAGGCCTCTGCCCCTCTTGGGCAAGTATTACAAAGCTCTGTTAGCTCTGCCCATAGGTGCACCCCACACCACCAGCAAACCTCCTGCCCAAAGGCACTCAACTTTCTTGCTCCATGGGACAGCAAGCCCACTGCTGTCTCATGCTGATCTCGGTTCTGCTGCCACTGCTGCTGCTGTCTCTCTGCCATCCCTCTGCCAAGAAGATCCAACATAGGAATCTCAAGTCCAAGGACATGCTCCACTCCTGGCTAATGTCTGTCTTGATATTAGTGACATTCCCTTGTCCGCCTCTGGGATGGCTCATTTTAAGCCTAACAGGATGACAAAACTGACCAATCACTATGTTAGGGTTCCATACACCTTATTTGCATGGTCCCACCCCTATCATGGTATCATGTACCTTATTTACATTACTAGCAAGCTATCCAATCCCCTTGGTGGGCCACAAGGAAGCACTTTATATCTGCATAGTCCCACCCAGTCATCTGCTGGAAGTCACAAAGACCACGGCTAGAAGAGCCATACCAAATAATTCACTGCACCACAGCTCCAGAGGGAGAGTGGCTATGTCAACACCTTGACTTCAGCCTAGTATAATTGAGTTCAGACTTGTGGCCACCAGAGTTGTGAAAGAATAAACTTCTATCATTTTAAGCCACCAAGTTTGTTGTAACTTGTTACAGCACTCACAGGAAGCTAATACAATATGCCCTGGAGCATTTGCTTAAAATGCTGATTCCACTGCCCCCATCTAAAAAAAGTTCTGATCCAGTACTTTCCAGTAGGTCCAAGGTAAAACTAAGAAATCTGCAGTTTTTAAACCCTTACTCCAGCAATGGTTCCAATGCAGCAGAACAAGGACCACATCCTGAGAAGTTCTGGGTCAGCTGACTTCTGAGGCCTCCAGATCTGACCTTCTACATCAGTGACTGTCCATGCACTAAACACTCAGCTAGAGGGTAGGTCTGGGCAAGCAGAAAGAAGAGTCTGTTCTTTAGCTATCCAGGATAAAATGTGGTTTCCCAGAATTCACCAGAAATTCAAGGCCAAATAGACCTTCAAGAGCTCAGACCAGCACCAGAAGGATTCAGCCCTGGCACCTGCCCCCTGGGAAGGCCCGTCTTCATTTCCTCTGTACTGCTTCCCCTGATTCCACATCCACCCCACCAGTAAGCTCACCCCGTGTCCACAGTTACTTTTCACCAGCCCACAGAGTTGACCCTGGTCTCACTCTGATGGTTGGTGGCCCTATCTTCCCCCCAAACCACACCTTCACAGAATCAACACACACAATCAACACAGAATCCCCTCATGTACACTGGATTCCAGGAGAACTCTAGCAACCTTGTGTGGGAAAGGAAAAGGAGCATTTTATTTTCCTTTTTGAATCTACTGCCCAATTATCTGAAGCTTGTGATTGATTTCTCTGAGCAGCCTCACTCTACCCAGAATGATCATTTCAAACACAAATCTACCCGCCTCACTTCTGCGTTTAAAACCCTCCAGTGGCTGCTCATTTCTCTTAGAATAAGAACGAGGGAATGTTTTGTAGAGCCTATAAAACCCTTAGAGTGTAAACTGCTAATATGTTCAGCTGCTAACTGAAAGGTTGGTGCTTCAAGTTCACCCAGAGGCTTCTTGCAAGAAAGACCTGGCGGTCTACTTTGGAAAAACCAGCCATTGAAAACCCTCAGGAGCACAGTCCTATTCTGACACACATGGGGGTCACCACGAGTCAGAATTAATTCAACAGCAACCGTTAGATTTTTGGGTGAATTTTTTTTTGTTTTTGTTTTTATAAGATCCTAAACTTCCCTGCCTCCCCACCTTGTCTCCCCCATGCTTCTCCTCTGTCTCTGCTCTCCTGTCCCTTGAATTTCTTCCAGTTCCTGGGATGCTGTTTTCCACTGGGCTCTTTGTCCGAA